GTTGCATTTTATGTAAGGCAGACCTGGAAATGACTAGTGAAACACTTATGTCTTGCTCCTTGATATGTTTCTCTCTTTCTCTTTCTGCTTGTCTTGAAGCTTTTTGTAGTTTTGTTTGTGGTATGGTTATTAAACTGTAGATCTGCAAGATGGTCAGCTCCAAATATACGATGAGATGACTTATGTAAGTTAGAGAGGACAGAAACAAGACGTAGACAACCACAGAATGTCTGGTCCAGGTGTGGTCTCTATAGGAAGAAAGACAAATAAAAACCCATGTTAAGAATATAAATAATTACAAATACAAACATGAAGAGTTGAGTGAGTAAAGAAAGCAGCAGTGATGAAACATCACTTTGTCCACCAGCAGTCTAAGCCTATAGCAGCATAACTAAGGGATTGCTCAGGAAACCCAAGCCGACCTTAACTATAGGATTTACCAAAAACGAAAGACTTAAGCCTGATCTTAAAAGTAAACAAAGTGTCAGCCTCATGGGCAGAAACTGGAAGCTGGATCCACAAGAGAAGAGCCCGATAACTGAAAGATCTGCCCCCAGTTCTACTTTTAGAAACTCTAGGAACTACAAGTACGCCTGCAGTCTGAGAATGAAGTGCTATGTTTAAAAAAATGGAGCAATAAGACCTTAAAAATAAGATAAAGCTTGATTGTTTAGAATTTTGTGTCTTAGTATTAAGAGTTTAGGGTTTTGTCTGAATTTGACCAGGATACATGAGTAAAGCTAAAACTGAAGAAACATGATAAAACTCTGCCAGCAGCATTTTAGATCAAATGAAGACCTTTTTAAAGAGTTTGTCTTTGGACACCAAGAAAACAAACAAACAATTACAACGATCCAGTTTAGATGTGTGAAATGCATGGATCAGTTTTTCTGCATCATTTGGGGACAAGATGTTTCTAGTTTTAGTGATTTAGTGAGGTGTAGGATAGCAGAGCTGGTAGTATTTTAATTGTGGGGTTAAATTAGATATCAAAAATAACACAAAAGGTTTTTAACATTAGAACTGGAGGCCAAATTAATGTCATCCAGAGGAAGTGAACGGCTGCAAAGTTTGTTCCTAAGATGCTCAAGTCTAAAAATCACAACCTCTGTCATCTGAATTTAAAAATAGAAAATTAAGTCAGTGAGGTGTTTTTGTCTATACAACATGCTTTTAATCTAAGTCACTGATTGGATTCATCAGGTTTCATGGATAAATATAACTAAGTAATCAGCAAAACAATGAAAACTTCCAGTGCTATTTAATAACTTTACCTAAAAGAAGCATATATAAAGTAATGAGTACTGGTCCAAGCACTGAACCTTGAGGAACTCCATGACTAACTGTGATGTAGGAAGAAGATTCATTATTAACATGAACAAACTGGAATCTATCAGATATGTAAATATGGTTTTAAACAATTTTAAAGCTGTTCTTATAATCCCAATATCATGCCTGTGTACTAAAATATTGTAATCATTTCTATCAAATGCAGCACTAAGATCGAACAGGACAAGTTTGGACTCAAGTCCACTGTCTGAGGCCATGAGAATATCTTTCTGTGCCATGAGGAGCTCTAAACCCTGACACAAACTCCACAAACAGATTATTTCTGTGCAGATGTTCACCTGATTTGCAACTATTTTCTCAATAATTTTTTAAAGAAGACTGGGAGAATGGACATAGGTCTATAACTGACTCAAGCTCATGAATCAAGATCAGGTTTCTTGACAGTCACTGTTTGTAAGAAGTATCAGATTTTTCACATAACTCATAATACAGATATACTGTATGACATACATGTATGTACCTGATATAGTAGGGTGTTGTATGAATGGGTAAATGAGGGCACAGACTGTGTTGTAAAGCACTTTGAGTACCTTGATAAGATATAAAAGGTGCTATATAAGTACAGTCCATTTACCATTCCTTTTGTCTGTGTTGTACAATTTAATCACCATTTCTCCAATTTGAGCTTGTTAAAAGAGCTTTCTACAACTGTTTTGATAATAGTTGTTTGTAACCTTTCCACGTAACCCTACATCAAAACATTTAAGTTTGGCATGTGGTTTGTCACCAGCAGAGCATCATGAAGGGTACAGCTCCAATCAGCGGTGCTGATAGTTCAGCTCTATTTGGTCTTTGTCACATCTTTTTGGACTCAGTTCAAATGGATGAATTATGCGTGAAAACTCTGTGAAAACTTGGTAAGCTAGTTATCTGGGTAAACTCGGTCCCCAACAAACCATCCTTCAAACAATCCGTCCCCTCACCTGGAGGATTCTAAGTGTATATATTTTACAAAGTTATGGCTGATTGTCATGAAGCAGTGGTTTTAGAGTTGAACTCATAGTGCAGGCGGACCACAGAGAACTCAGAGGAGTAAAAAATAATATAATTTATTTTTGAAAAACAAAAATGCTGACGTGGCAGCAAAACTGACTCAGATCATAAGGCACGTAGAAAACACATGGGAACACATATGAACTCAAGGATGATTGTTAGACGATGCCAGACAACAAATAGCACACAGACACAGACTTATATACACAGACTAACGAGTCAACCACACACACCTGAACAGGACACACAGGTGGATCTGATCAGGGTAATTAACACTAGGGAGTGCAGACACAGGGTGATCACAGAGAGCACCATCCTCACAACGATCTGCTCCTGAGGGGATCACATTTCTCACACCATTGGTCCTTTAGATTAGGATAGTATTCCTGATTTATTTTTCACTTGCTTTAATCTCACTGCTGTCAGCAGAAACCTGTAATTGTTACCTAACATTGGTGCTCTTGATTTCCAACCTCCGGGGTTTACCATTAATGGGCCTGCAGTGCACAGATCGGAGCAGAAATAACTAGTTTATTCCAGAGAAAAGGACAGTTATGTAATAAGACACAAGAGGTGATTAAAAAAAATATGAAAAATTCAAATCAGGTATTGAAGAGAAACAATATTCATATTGTGTCCTTGAATCAGGGTGCAGCATCCGATCACTGCTCTGCTTGAGTGATCTTAAGTGAAGTTGATAAATACATTTCTTTCTATTTTTAACATAATTTAGAGCAATTAAAATTTAAAAACTCACATAAAACAAAGCTTCCTAAAAATAAAACGCCTAGGAAAAACCTGTCAACCTTTGGCAAACAGTGTGCACGAGTGTGCATGAATATTTATGTGTAAAAACGTGTGTGCGCGCACACACACCTGCGCAAGTGCGTCTATCTCTAACTTGTCAGAGGACGGGTGTTTCACTGAGTGGGAATGCCTGCTAGGATGTGTAGGCCCAAGTTGCCATAGCAACCATCTGCTGCTACGCTCGCAAGAGTTTGTTGGCAGCCCACACATTGTGACATCCAGCAGCAAGCCAATCTTAGATGGAGAAAAAAAATAAAGCTGTGACCGAATGCCAACGTTAAAGAGCCACACAGTTTAAACTGAGTTGTTGCGTTTATTTTTTTTTTTCAATTTAGTTGCACACGCACAAAAAAGGCTTATTTAATTTGTCCTGAGACTGTGTGCTCCTGTAAATCCTTCATGGCATTTCTTGTGATAAAGACAGACGCAGTAGGAGAGGTGTGCTACACTCGGCACGCGATACAACACTTTGGCAGACTGGCGATCAAACGGAAGGTTGTAAAGCAGCCTTAAATCTTTAGCAGGTATGAGGCAAGTTGCAGTCAGAGAAGAGTTACTGAGAGCCACTTTTAGACAGAAGGAGAAAGTTGGAGGCTCAGTGACGCATAATGTTTGAGAAGCTAAATCCCTCATCATCTTAAATCTAAAGTCTACACACACAAGTTATTGGATAATTTAATTATTCTATCATCAACTCATTAAATAAATAAGCCACACAAGGAAACTAGAAGCTCTTTACATCCCAGGTTTAATATCCCTGCAAGAGGAGCAGCAATTGGAAACCAGGAAACAAGATGTTACACGATGCCCTGGATCACAAGGTCTGCCCCCGGACAGCATAAAGGAGCATCAACTTATACACTTATCAGAAAAGGCGAGGTCAAAACAACTCTGCTTTCCAGCTTAGGATCCTTGAAATTGATCAGGTGTGCAGGCTCCGTGCTCCTGCAGGCTCCACTTTGTTCAGACAAAACAACTCTAACTCGCACACATGGTTCTATTAATTTGACATTATAAGTGAAAAACATCCACGACCTTTACATCCCCCATCACAAGTGATTAATGGTAAATGACCAGTGAATTCAACACAATTTGTTTGACATAAAACTCATATACAATAAACCTGTGCGCCTGCCTTGTGCATAGCGTTGTACTTTACAAAGAACTACCACTGCTCACGTTGGAGGAGGCTCTCAGCTACACTTAGACATAGTCCATCCAACTTTGAAGTGGTGTTCTTCTAGATATTTATCAATAGTTAGTACATTACCATATATGACATCAGTCATAGAGCACAGAGTGTTAAAAAGAGGCAAACGTTTTCATCCAGGCTAAGCTAGTGGCTAGCCAAATGAAGTCATGTTGTTAAGTATGATACAATTCCCAATGATTGGGACTGGTGAATTCATGCATTTAACTCATATTCCAGTGATCAAAATCCCACATTAGATGTATAGGATTCATTAAAAGGAAAATAGGAATTAAGTCAAAACTCTATCTTACATTTTGAGCACCTTTCTTGACAGTATGTTGTCCCTAGATTGTTTTTTGACGCATCGGAATCGGGATGATCTGATCCAGTCATTACAATATACATCTTTTTAATTCCATGCCTCTAAAATTGCATAACTTTCATTTTTCTTAACTAATTTTTTTATCAAAATTGGTATTCCTTTCTTTGTCATTAGTAGATGCATTCAAGAAAATGAGTTTTAATACAGTTTGGATTAAGCTTTGCCAATATATTTGTTTTTCAGGTTTATAAAGCAGCTCATTTCAATATCAAAAGGTGAAACTATTAACTACAGAAATCAATCTAATTATTTAGTTTGCTTGTCTGTGTCTTGCAGATGCAGGAGGTGGGCAGCACCCAGACCAGTTCTCAGAGGGTCTTCAGTGTCCTGGATCGATTGCTGCTCACGCATCCTGTGTGGCTGCAGTTGTCACTCAACCAAGACTCCGCCCTCTACATCCTGCTTAGAGAGCCTGTGGGAGTAAGAACCTGATAGCTACGTTAGCCTTCTCAACTAAATGTTAATCGTCCTTGGGAGCAGCTTCCAGCAAAAAAACTATAGATACGTATTAACTCGGCTTATTGTAATATATTATGAGAGATCAACCAACTGTAGTTCTCCACGCCAATTCTGATGTGTGTAAACCTCTGACCAGGACAGATTTGTTCACCTTTGATTGATTTTTATTTCTCCAAGTGAACTATAGCTGAGAGCAATTTAAGTTTAATATTTCTGATTTTTGTTTTGCTAATTTCAAATGTTAACCAAACACACACAGATTTCCAAATTTTGAGTACAAAAGGATAACATCTATTTTGATAAAGCTGGAATGTTGTTTACAATATAAATGAGAAAAGAATGTAATGATCTGCAATCTAATGAACTGATATATTTTATTTACAATGGAACATAGTATGCATACCAAATATATAAACTAAGAAATTAAACCATTTTAAAGGAATATCCAACTGCTTCCACATGCTGGCCTTAATGTTATTTCCCTGTTCTACTAAAAGTTATTATTTGTGACACGTGACAACGACTAACTACTTTAAAAAAATTATATATTTTTCTTATATTTTTACCTAAGGCCATCCCCATTAATGTGCAAATGCAATGCATTCTGGGTTGATGACGTACATGGATTGCATTGGAAACTAAAACACAAGAAGCCAAGGTTAAAGTGTTTAAACATAAATTTAACTTTATAAAGTTATATTATGAATTAGTCCTTATGCCATTCTGTATTTCATATATATAAAAAAATTCATAATATATATAAAAATTTATTATTTATCTATATATATATGTATATATATTAAAACTATATATTTTTTCTGCATACCTCTTAATTCGAATGATCAGCTGGTCTCTCAACAAAATTGATCAACTTCTCCCGACAGGAGTCAGGATAAGGAGGACCCTCTTACCCCGATGGAAACAAATTGGATTCATGATGACAACTGGTTTTTTTGCTGTTTGGTTGGTGAATTCTGGATTGTCTATAAATTCGTGTGGATGTGTTGAAGCTTGACAGCTCTCAGACTGAATTTGGGGAGCTTCTGCAGGGAGCTGGAGCAGCTGTTATCAGGACTGTGAACTTACTGGCAGCACTCATGAATGGTGGGAATAATCTTGGAGAAGCTGTAAGCTCGACTTTTGGCGTAAAGGATCAATTCGGCTATTTTGGAGTTCCATCAGAGGAATATATACCAGCGAGACTTTAAAAGGCAGAAACAACAATTCACGAGTTCTGCCTGACCCAAATTGTGGCCTTGATGCAGGACTTATCTCAACTCCTCCTGGAATGTTTTGAAAACAACAAAGATGCTTTGACTGTTTCCTCACCCCTCCCTTCCCCAAGGCCGTGGACATGTGACAGAACCTCAACTGAGCTGAAGATGAACGTCACCTCTTATCTGGACAATGGCTGAGAGGGGGGGGGGGGGGGGCCCGCTGGACTATGCTACGACTTTTCCTTAAAAATTCAATGTCTTCACTGGCCTATATGTACATGTATAACGTCTATTTATGTTGGTTTGCTGTGGTAGGTTTATTTGATGCCTCAAATAGTGCCCTGTCTAGGACACGGCGTGAGAGATCTTTTTTTTTATATCATCTCTCCTCATGTTTTCTTCCCTTTTCTCATCTAAGCAAAAATATTATTCTGAATAAGAATAAGAGGGCCGCGCTATGTATAGCCGCAGCTTCTTGCATTCCGCCCATCTTTCAGACGACTGTACGTACATGTTCTTGTTGTATCTTGGTGCAATGCCAATAAAGTTTTTTCTGATTCTCTGATTCTGATTCTTAAATAAATAAACTGAATTGAAGTGAATTGGGGCAATGCGGTGACGCAACTTGAAGAG